AGAGTCAAAGCAGGGGCTGAGAACGTTGGTCGGCAGGCCAGCCTGGGGGCCAAGACTCCCAGCCTGGGCTCACCCCCACCCCGTGCCCTTGCCGACTTCACTGGCCTGTCCCTTGTGCTTCTCAGCTTTCACGAGAACTACCTGGGATTGGGTAGAAGGCTCGCAACCCTGCAGGTAGAGATGGATAGGGTGTGAGCTAACAGCCTCTTTGAGGCTGGGATCTGGGCTGCCTCATAGTTATCCCGGGAGAGGCCGCCACTGGCTTACAGAAGTCTCATTCTCCAGGTGCTGCCAATCCACATGCCTTGGTGACATGCACACATAAGTTCTTTGAATAGGCCACTTACGGCTAATAGCTAGGGGCAAGGAGGCATTTAGGCGGCATTGGCCGGAGAACTGGCCTCTAGGTTTTGTGGTGTTTAGAATCCTGCATCTGCCCTGTCCCTCCGGCCTGAGGACCAGCTGGTTGTTGTATCAAGTCTAGGCCACTCCTCCCACAGAGGTAGAGACAGGCTGGGAAATGTTTTCAGGGTCTCTGTGAATCACTGTGACTACAGCAATCAAGTGTGGTCATTCACAAAGGTGTTCATTGTGTTTCACAGTTTGGTTTTGGGCTCAGAGCCCTGGGTCACCCTCTGAGGGTAAGAACAGGCCCAGAAAGGGTCCTGGTTCCACATGTGGGCCTTTTGGCTCTCTGCTGCTTGCTGTGTACCTGTTTGTTGTGTTCCTATTTCTGGGCCTTAGTTTCCCCCATTTACAAAAAGAAGCGGAAGGCTGAGGTGGAAGGATTGCCAGGGCCCAGCAGGTCGAGGCTGCGGTGGCCGGGAGCGGCCACTGCACTCCAGTCTGGGTGACAGAGTGAGACTCCAACTCAAAAAAACAACAACAACAACAAAAAAAAACCCAGAAAAACAAAAAGAAGGGTTTGGTTAAGTGATTTCTTAGAGCTATTCTGAGTCTGAGGTGACATATTCATTTTTGTTGCTGCCCTAGTTAATTTACCTTAAATTTAGTGGCTCGAAAGAACAGCCATTTCTTTCTCATCTTAGGGTTCTGTGGTTAGAAGTCCAGTGGGCTCAGTCAGGTCTCACAAGGCCAGAATCAAGCTGTCATGCTTAAGGTCTCACAAGGCCAGAATCAAGCTGTCGACTGGCCTGGGCTTTTGTTTGCAGCCTGTGAACGAGAAAGTACATCTACACTCGTTCAGATTGGTGGCTGACTTTCATCCCATGTCGGGCTAAGGGTCTTGTGCCCCTGCTGGCTCTCAGCAGAGGCTGGTCTTTTTTCTTAGTGGCCACCTGCCTTCTTTCTCACACTGTCCACATGACCCTCTCCATCCATGACGAGTTGAATCACATTCTGAATCTGACTCCAACCAGAGAAAGTTCTCTGCTTTTAAGGACCCATGTGATTAGATTGGGCTCACCCAGATTATCAGGGATAATCTCCCACTCATAGCCTTTGAAACTTTGGGTCCACCTGCAAAGTCTCTTTTGCCATGAAATGTGATATATTTATAGATTCCGGGGTTAGGGTGCGGTCATTTTAAGGGATAGTATTCTGCCTACACAGTCCATACTCTGACCCCCGAAGATTCAGGTCTATCTCAAATGCAGATTACATTCAGTCCGTCACAGCCAAGGTTCCCCAAGGTCTCATCCCGCGGCAACATCCATCTCATCTCATCAGCTCAGAAGCCCTAACTTCCATGATCTAAATCATGATCTAAATCCAGTCTTGGTGAGGCTCAGGGTATGATCCACCCTGGTGAAATTTCTCTTTATCTACGAACCTGGGAAACTAAGGAAATACATTATCTGCTCTCAAAATACAATGATGTGACTAGTTAGGGACATTCTAATTCAAACAGGGAGAAAGTGGAAGGTGAAACCTTCTCACCAGAGCAAAGGGAAAACAAGAGAACTAGCAGCATCTGAGCCCCTTCCACCCCACCTGGCCTCTGCAGGCAGGCATTGATTGGCTGGCCTCAAGTCCACTCATCATGTTCTGGCCCTGTCTTTGGAATTTCAGGAGTACACAGTGGCACAGCTCTGAATCAGGTGGTTAGAAACAATAGAAAATTTAATTGAAATGCAGCAGAAAGGATTTAGGGAAGACTTAAGGGTGGGCAGTGTTTGATTTGCAAAGGTTTGACCAGATGCAGTGGCTTACACCTGTAACCCCAGCACTTTGGGAGGCCAAGGCAAGAGTTTGAACACCAAAAAAGGAAAAGCATGTGCTTCTAGCACCTTCTCTTCCATTCCACAACACTAGTGGGAATGCATAGACTTTTGCAAATGTTCGATCTGTCATTTCCCAGCTGGGTGGAATCAGGCAATCCATTTCACCTCTTCTGAACTTCTCCTTTTAAGTGTGCTCAGCTCTAAAATGGAGATGTCACTGCATATGTCCTTGACTGGTGAAGATCAACTGGGAATGGCATGTGGAGAGTGTTCTGTAGAACTTAAACCATTTGCAAATAAGTAGCTCTGTTTGTGGACGGGGCCCTGCGGTGCCACCTGGGGCAGGTGTCCTGGAAGGTTGGCTGCCCTAAGACCTTCTCCTCCTCCTTTGGAATGACTCCACCTCCCTGAGATAATCCAATTCGCTGGCAGGTGTTTAGAGGACAAGAGGTGGAGGATATGGTCTTAGGTGGCATGGCACAGAGTCACAAAGGTCTCAACAGTGGCCAGAATTTTGGCCATAGAGGAGGAAACAGTGCTGCTGGGCTAGTCCAGTGGGAGAGAAAGTTAACCAGTCCATTTTGGTTCAGAACCCCCCAAAAAAGTTCATAAAGTTTTATAAAATGTCACATGTACTCCAGGAATTCAGATCTCCAGGGAAAAAGCACATCTCACACCACTGGGGTCCTGTTCTCCAGCCCCCTCCCAGATATAGGTACACGTACACACATGCGTGGATATACACACAGACACACGTTTATATTCATGTTTATGTGTATACATCCCTCCCCTTGACCCTTGATTTCTTCTAGACATAAAGAGAAGCATACTGAATACACTCTTCTGGGTCTTGTTTTGTTACTTTAGAGATTGTTCTCTATTGGGGCACATAGATCTGCTCCCATTCTTTCTAATGACTACAGGGAATTCCAATATCTAGTCATCACCTATTGATAGATATCGAGTCATTTCCAGTCTTATGCTACTCTAGAAACACTGCAGTTAATAGCTTTATACATATTTGTACACATTTATGAATATACCTGAAGGTACAAAAAACAACCAACCAGTTCCACCATGCTGACATAATCACTGTCAGCATTGGGTGGTATTGCATTCTTGGCATGGGAGAATATGCTCATGTATAGCGTGTGTTGAACAGGGATGTGGTCATGTCATGCCTAAAATCTCTCATCTTGCTTATTGTATTTAAGCAAGATATTTACACTTGCCTGTATTTTTAAATAACTTACTAAACTAAATGAATTAACCAACCTAGTGGGCCAGTCTGTGGCATCTAGGCATAGCGCAGTAGCAGTAGCATGGTTGTGCTCCAAATCAGTGTACTTGTTCCTTTCGTGGCCTATTTAGAGAGCTTGTAATATTTTGCTGTTGCATCAAGAACACTCAGTAGGGCAACTGCCGTGGGTGCCCTCCCACTCTGGGAGCTTGTCTGTCCTCTCAATAAATCCTGATTTAAAAAAAAAAAAAAGCAACGCCCAGGTGAACCTATTTGCAATTAAATTAGCTTTTCCAGCATTTGGGTTTATTTCCCTGGGAGAGACAGCAGGGTCAAAGAGTTGCCAGAGTGCGCTGCAGAGGGACTGCCTAAGTGATCCCCTGGGCCCTGCTAAGACAGGCCTGTCTAAGATGGGAACAGTGCTGTCACCCAGAGGCAGTAAGGAATCGCTGTGAAGATGATTCATAAAAGTGAAGGCAGAGGAGTTCCCATCATAAAGTGCAGTTACGGGCAGGGTGAGCATTCATCGTTTTGGACCGGCCTCTGTTTGTACCAGGTTGCTTCAGGAATGCCGGGCCGCTGGGTTCAATGCTGCTCCGCCCTGATTTGTATCAAATTATGGAGGGCTGATGAGCTGAGACAGGTCAGCGTGAATAATTCAAGATTCTGAGACCCAAAAGGATGACTGGAGAGAGGAAGAAGATGAAGAGGCTTAGTTAAGGAGCAGGCTTATTTTTTTAGGATAAGATTTCAGAGAAGATACAGGCAGAGTCACAGCTAGAGGGCATGGGTATAACTGACAACTGTCCTTTCTTCCTTATCTGGAAAGGACACGGGGGAGGGCTTCCCAGCTGTCTGTCAGTCTGGGATCTGAGTGCGAAAGGGAGCCCTGTGCCTCCACGGTGTGATTGAGGGGTGGTGGCCCCTAGGACACCTCTGCTCCTGCCTTCTTCCATGCGTTCCCAGTCATTCCCTCAGAGAGCTTTCTCCTGGGAGTTTAGACCCCCCCCCACTCTCCTGATGTGCTGGGGTCTAGTAAATTGCGTCCAACAACGCATCTGCAGTCCTTTCTTTCCAGAGGGGACTCGGGCAGCTGCTGAAATCCAGATGTTTGGCTTCCATCTCCACTCGGCACAGAGCTCGGCCCGAGAGTTACGTCTGGGATGTGCTTTTGTCCTGGAAAGGCATCCTGGCTTGGGCAGCTGCAGCTTTCCGGGACCCAGTGAAATGTAGCTACACGTCCCTATGTTGAAAATGCCAAGTTGTCCTCACACCAACTCAGTGGTGCTCTCAGCCAGGCCCATCTACCATTCCCTCCACGGAGCTTCTCCTTAGACCTCGCCCTCAGGTCCACAGCCACGGCCCTTGCCCTCGGCATGAAGCTGGAAGCAGCTTTACCATGGGACCAGGATCTTCTAAGCGTGGCCTCCTTCCCGATCAGCCGTGCTCGGGGACAGGCACTGTCCCGGAGGCCAGCCTGGCCTAGGTGACCCCCACCCGAGCCCCGCCTACTGCATCCAGGCTTGTGGGGGCACATGCTCCCTTTCCTCAATGCCAGCTCTTCCCCCCCTCACCAGGAACCATCCTTCAGCTTCTCTCCCCTCCCCTCGATGTCCCACAGAACCAGCCATGTGGAACTCCATCTCGTTCCTTCACCCGTCCCGAGCACCCTGGCTTTGTGCGCCTGCCCATCCCCTGCCTCGTACCCAGATGCCCCTTCACCTTTTCTGCACGTTCAAGTCCTCCCCAAGGGCACTCCCCCTCTCCTCGAAGCCTTGGCTTTGTCCTGTGGCGGTTTGTGATGTCTCTGCTGTTTGCTGGATCGTCCCCAGTTTACCTCCCCTCCTCGCATGGTTCTTGGGATCCTCTGCTGTCTTCTCTGCTGGGGGCTGTGTGTGTGTTCTCATATCACAGTTCCCACTAGATGGCCCCTCTTGGGGGCAGGGGCTCCTTCCCTCCTTCCTTCAGTGTCTAGCAGGTGTCCTGCCCGTTGGAGACTGAGCTGGGTGTGAGAATGGGCAGGTGGTAGATGGCCAGGAGGGTGGGTGTCAGACCCGTCCCTCTGCCCGTGGCATCATCTCGTCTAAGACAGATTGTTCCCATGAGACCTCTGGGCTGGGCCTTCTCCACACTGTTGAAATAGAAAACAGAAGTGTATTTTAAAGTGTTTGTTATATTTATCGAATGAAGTCTTATGTTTCTTGCTCTTAATTTAAAAATCCTGAGAGTTGAATACTTCATATTTCTTCCAGGAAAAGAGAATCTAAATTGAGTTGCCTTTTTTCCTTCATGTTTGACATCTTGCTTGATTTATTATTTTTTTCTTTTTAGACTGTGGCTCTCGATGAAAGGAAGGGTCTATCCTGAACTTACACAGCCCTTGGCGCACAGCGGGGTCTCCATATAGAGTGAATGGAAGTGTGCTGTGTCAAGCAGCATGGGAACCCTCAGGATCTCTGCCTCTTGGAAAGTGCCCTCCATCTGGGCTCAGACTGGGTTTTTAGCCTGGGAGGGGTGGGACCGATGTGCTGTGTCAGAACCCTCTCTGCTGTGATCTTTTCCTCTTAGCCTTGAAATCTGGGTCTGCCCCCGCCTTCCCTCTGTGGTCACTCTCAGGCTTGACACTGAGTCAGCCCCCTGCGAACAGCCGTCCGCCCCAGGCTCTGCAGCAGGCGGTGCGTTCAGTGTGCCAGCTGCATGCCAGGCAGCCCTGACTGGGGATCTGCTGGACACCCCTGCCCTCCATTCTTGTTGAGGTTGTGTCCAGCCCCTCTTCTTCAGGGTATAGCCTCCATGGACAGAGCACCACTCTGGTGGCTGGAAGCTCTGGATGCTTGGGGTCCATACCTGCTCGTGCCCAGAGGACCTGTCTAACTTCCTTTGATCCTCTCTGGCAACCTGTGAGTTGGAAGGAGGAGATTCCTGTCCACACTTGACAGGTGGAGAAATTGAATCTCAGAAAAAAGAAGCGTTTGCTAAGAGTTGCACAGCTTGGGAAGCTGGGGTTTGAACTTGAGTCTCCTGGCCCTTTCAGCCACAGCACCTCTCAAATCTTAATGGGCTTTCAAACAAAATCATCTATTAAAAATGTAAGTTCCATAGATATAAAAATTCTCAACAAGATTCTAGTAAATTGGGTCCAACAATGCATCTCAAAATCATTCATGACCATGTAGGTTTCACCCCCGGGATTCAGGGCTCATCCAACATCCACAAGACCATAAGCATAATTAAAAACATCAACGAGCCGGGCTCGGTGGCTCAGCCTGTAATTCCGCGCCTTTGGGAGGCTGAGGTGAGCGGATTGCCTGAGCCCGCGGGTTCGAGACCCGCCTGGCAACTTGGTGAGCCCTCATCTCTACAATAAATCAAAAAATAAGCCGGGCGTGGTAGCACCTGCCTGTAATTCCGGCTACTCAGAAGGCTGAGGCGGAAGGATTGCCGGAGCCCAGCAGGTCGAGGCTGTGGTGGCCGGGAGCGAACACTGCACTCCAGTCTGGGCGACAGAGTGAGACTCCAACTCAAAAAAAAAAAAAAATCAACGAATATAAAAACAAGAACCATATGATTATATCATTAGATGCAGAAAAAGCTTTTGATAAAATCTGGCAGCCCTTCTTATAAAAAGCCTTGAACACCTAGACATAGATGGAACATACTCCAAAGTAGTAAGAGCCATCGATGATAAACTCACAGCCAATATACTGCTAAATGGACAGAAATTGGAACCATTTCCCCTGAAAACTGGAACAAGATAAGGCTGCCCACTCTCACTCCTCCTGGTCAACACAGTGTTAGAAGTCCTAGCAAGAGCAATCAGACAAGAGGAGGAAATCAAGTGTATCCAAATAGGAAAAGAGGGAGTTAGGTTATCCCTCTTTGTGGATGACATGATCCTATACCTTGAAAACCCAAGAGAATCTGTCAAAAACCTTGCACTGATAAAAGATTTTGGTAAAGTCTCAGGGTACAAAACAAACGTGAAAAAAATAGTCACATTCTTATACACCAACAACAAACAGAGAGCCAAATAAAAAGCACAATCCCATTCACAATAGCTACAAAAAAATGAAATACTTTGGCATATTTCTAACCAGAGAAGTGAAAAACCTTTACAATGAAAACTACAAAACACTGCTCAGAGACATCAAAGAAGACACAAACAAATGGAAAAAGATTTCATGCTCATGGATTGGAAGAATTAACATTAAGATGTCCATCCTACCAAAGGCAGTCTACAGATTTAATGCAATACTCACTAAATCACCAACATCATTCTTCTCAGACCTGGAAATGACAGTACAGAAATTCATATGGAAGCATAAAAGACCATGAATAGCCAAAACAATCCTCAGCAAAAGAAACAAAGTGGGAAGTATCATACTTCCAGACTTTAAACTCTACTATAAGTCTGCAATAATCAAAACAGCCTGGTATTGGTACAAGAACAGGCATATAGACCACTGGAAGAGGATAGAGATTCTGGAAGCAAAACCTCAATTTCTCAATCAACTCATCTTTGAGAAAGCCTCCATCAACAACCACTGGGGAGAAGAGAACTTGTTCAGTACATGGTGCTGGGAAAACTGGCTGACCACATTGCAGAAGATTTAACTCTAGTCGGAATGACCACAATCGATAACTCAAAAAACAACAGATGTTGGAGAGGATGTGAGGAAAAGGGAACATTTCTACACTGTTGGTGGGAGTATCAACTCGTGCAACCTCTGAGGAAAACAATGTGACGATTCTTAAAAGATCTAAAAATCGACCTTCTATATGACCCCACAATCCCCCTTCTGGGAATATTCCCGGAGGAACTCAAATCGTTCTATAAAAAAGATACCTGCACACACGTTTATTGCAGCATTGTTCACAATAGTAAAAACATCAAACCAACCATGCTGCCCATCGAAAGTGAACTGGGTAAAGACAATGTGGTATATATACACAATGAAATATTACACAGCCATAAAGAAAAACAAAATTATGGACTTGGCAACAACTTGAATGGATTTAAAGTCTATAATACTTAGTGTTCTATCACAGAATAAAGATCTGAGTACTACATGTACTCGTTCATAAGCGGACCTGGAACATTAATCATAAAACTACAAGAAAGGGGTTGGCATTAGCGGGACACTGCCAGGGGAGGAAGGAGGGGGCACGCAACATCCATAAGGGTACCCGACCTCCAGCCAGGCGAAGTGGGGACCAAAGGGAGACCCAGACTTGACCTGTACGATGACCACTTATGTACCTAACTCTGAATTATATGCCCTACCTCTTTAAAGTAAAAAATAAATTGAAGAAGAAACCAGAAAGATAATGAGTCAAAATCAATGGAAAAATAAACAAAAATGCAGGCTTTTAGTCCCTGCCCCAGAGACTCTGATTCACTGGGCCTGGGGTGTGGCTCAGAAATCTGCATTTGTAACAGCCCCCCATCCCCTGCACGCCCAGCTCCTCCCTTAGGAAGAAACACTTTCCCAACCATGGGCTTCTCCTTAACTAGCCGTGGGGAAAAGCCACCTCCCCCTTGGTCAAGTCCATTCCGGAAATCTCAGGACCAAGCTGAAGGTGGAGGAGAGACAGCCTTGGGGCCAGACTGGCACTGCGGCATTCGTGTAGAGGAGGGGGCGGGGAGAAGGTCTCTCAGGGACGGCCAGGCCAGACAGGCGGCAGTGCTCAGTGCCCTGCTTTTCAGTCAGGCAGGCTGGATTTAAAACTCTGTCTACATAGTTTTTACTAGCTGTGTGTAATTTGGGGTTAGTTGCTTCTTGCCTCTGTGCCTCAGTTTTTTCTCGTCTGTGAAATGAAGCTAATAATTCCTACCTTGTAGATTTGTTGGGAGAGCCAAATTAGGCAGTGTGTATGTGGGGCCAGCGCAGTGTTGGGCTCCAGCAGTAAACCCCAGTCTCTCCCCTGCAGGTTGCACACATACCTGCCTCAGGCCTCTGCTCATGCTGCCTTTCCTTCCTGGAAAGCCTCTCCCTCATCTCTCCTCTCTCCTCTCTCCTTTCTTCTTCTTCTCTGTCTCCCCCTCCTCCTCCCCCTCCTCTCCCCCCCTCTCCCTCCTCCCTCTTCCCTCTTCTTCCTTTTCTTCCTCCTTTCTCTTCTTCCTCCATCTTCTTCTCCTTGTCGGGATCTCACTCTGTAGTCCAGGCTGTGGCGCAGTGGCGCAGTCCCAGCTCACCGCAGCCTCAGCCTCCTGGATTCAGGCGATCCTTCCACCTCTACCTCCTAAGGAGCTGAGACTACAGGCGTACACCATCACACCCAGCTAATTTTTTGATTTTGTTGTAGAGATGAGGTCCCGCTACATTGCCTAGGCTGGTCTTGAACTCCTGGGCTCTTTCTCACCTTGGCCTCCCAAACTGCTGAGATTACAGGCGTGAGCTACCATGCCCAGTCATCTCTCCTCTTTCACTAAATACTCCTTGTCTGGTCAGTTGAGGTGGCCCATGGCTGGTATCTCGTTACCTTGTAAGGTGTACGAGGAAACCCCCATACCTGGTTCTGAAGTAACTGGGAAAGACGTGTCCCTCAGCTTAGATTCTAAGTTCTGTGCCTCCTAGGACTTGAGAGTTAACAGAAATTCTGCCTTAGCTCACTCAGAAAATGCCTGGAGTTTCCGAGTTTTTGATGTTAGTTGTTTTTTGTTTTGTTTTGTTTTTCATCCTTTCCCGTCACTTGTACATGCTAACAAAATCCCCCACCCCATCCCCTGTAAGGGTTCAAAGGCAGACGAGAATGCTCCTGTTCTACCTGTGGGTCAGGCTAGACTGCAGGAAAGGTTTCTCCCAGCTGCATCCTGAAATCCTCCTGAACTTGCTGGCCGCATCAACCCCTCGCTTATTTTACTTTGGAAAGTTTGGATGAAAGCAAATGAGGTTATTCACTTTGAGGTCGTCAGGAACCATTAGGGCTGGGGACACCCCACCCCTCACTGGATACTTTCATTATCAGAATGCTGAGTACCTCTGAGGACAGGGTTCTTGCTCTCCCAGGCAAGACTGTAGCATCATTGCAGTTTATCTCTTAGACTTCTCTCTACTCTTCAGGAAGTTTTCCCGAACTGAGGAGTCTAGGAATAGAACGTGCAGGCAGGCTACAGGTAGCAGTGCTCCACTTACTGAGGCTGGAAGGTAGAAGAGTCAGGCAGAGACTCAGATCCTGGAGCTGGGTACACCTTGAGGTGGGCTTTGCATCAGAAACAAGATTCCTGGCAATGGGCTTTCTAGTCAGTGACCCCACAGGTCCCCAGCATGCTTCATTTTATCGGATTTTATGCTTGGAAAACTACCTTAATACCCTTTATGTTCAGGCTTTCAGTGACTGAACCAAGTTTTCCAGGTTCTCCCTGACTAGGGACGGGATGAATTTCAGAATCTGGAGAGGGTCCGTGACTGCAGCTATGGGACAGTTGGTCTCGTGGGTAGAGAGGAGATACTTGGGGAGAGGGGCTGTGCTGCTTAGAGCCTGGGTTTGGAACTTCGGTGTGAGTACAGAGGTGAGAAGCCTTGTCCATAAGCCCTGTGGTTTACTGACATAAAGGTGACTGTCTCCTAGAATAGCACTTCCCTAGTTGATGAACTACAACCTTCTTTCACACAAGATTTTTCTCCTGAATTATTAGCGAGGGACAAACCCATCATTTTAACTGAACCTGGGTGTAGAGTCTGATCTTCACGTGGAAGAAGAAAATGTTTTAAATGGGGGGTATGGTTTCAGGGCTCAGGGTCTCCTTCACGG